GTTTCTTGTGTCTGCAAAAAGCAGAGCGTCGTGGTGGGGACGACGGTGAGGTAAAGGTAGTTGTCAAATCGACCAACCTCAATTGGAAGACATTAGCATCTCAAATTTAGGTCAAAAGTTTGATTTGAAGGAAAAGAAGTTCCATATTCTAAGCACAAAAAGGAGAGAGCTTTGAAACCACCCACCAATCACATCCAACCAGGTTGCCTCAGTATCCACTGGGTTACCAAAGTCAAAACTTGGCGTGGGGGTTGCACTGCAAATTTGTCCATTCCAAATCAAGAAAATTGCTTCAATTTCGTTCCACAATTGAACGCAAGGCGTATCGTTTAATTTAACAAAAGTCAAACTCCCAACTGCAAGAAAGGAAAAAGGGAAAACGCCGTAATACCCATTCCCCCAATCGATGAACATTACCGATCTTGTCACGAGCATTTGAAAGCCTTAAATATTGGAGGGCAGCAGTGTCAAATAATCTCACGTTAACCGTCCAAATTCTTCACAATTCAATACCAACTCGCCCTTTACCTTATACACACACACACACACACATATATATATCCCGAATTCGCTTACTGAGACTCACAAACTTAGCAACTCTACCAGACATCAATGGCAATGGAAATGAGCGCCACAGCATCAGGCAAGCGTCTCTGTTTTGTTGTGGGTGTTCTGTTAATGGTGGCGTCGGCCCATTTCCTAACGGTCGAGGGCAGAACCTTGAGATCAGTTTCAGAGAAGTTAGGTGATGGGAAGGAGACAATGGGAGGTGTGGAGGCAATTGGAGTGGCAGCTTTTAGGGACCAAGTTAATTCATTAAGTAGCAGCAGTCACAGTGAATTTAGGAGCTTGAGTTTCGTGCTGGCGTCTGGGCCTAGTAAAAAAGGTCCCGGACATTGACCGTTTTTGCCTTTTCTTCTTCTTGTTCTTCATTGTTTTGTACAATTATACACAAAATTGAAACTTTTGTATCAGTTTTAGCGAGGGAGATCTTGTTTTTGCATTTATTCGTATTACAGAGTTGGGGTCATGAATAACGTAAGTTTCAATTATTTTGTTTTCTTGTACCAAAAACATAGATCACGATCACGATTCCAATCGCATCAGACAAACGGACAAAGCTTTAAATTTGACCATTGGAATTGGACAGCGAAGAGTAGAAGAAATGGAGGAAGATTAGATTAGATTAGGGCTGAAATGGATGGATGCGGCGCCCTCCTGGATGGAGGCCTAAAAAGAAGATCCTTGCTTTGCTTCAACATGGAAACAAAGTGGAAATCGAGATTTTGTTTGACCACTTTTTATTGGTTTTGTTTATATTTGTATTTGGGTTTAGTTTATTAATATTGGAATTGGAATCCCGTGTTTTGTGTGTTGGTGTTTGATGACTTCAGATTAAAAGCATCACTTCTTTTGTTGTTAGTTTCGTATGTGCTTACATGAGCATTTGATTTGAATAAGATTCCTTCTTCTTTGTAGTTTTCTCAAGCTGAACAGCCTTTTTTCCTTGCAATCACAGCAGCGTTTCCAAAATGGTTTCAGCACACAAATTTACCCATGGATTGGATTCAATCCATGAATGTTTTGCCTTTACCTTCTATTTCAAATGCCCAAGATGGGGGAATGCAGGCATGTTCTTGAATGCTTTTCGAGATTTGTATAGGAAATATGAGCACCACGCAGACAAGGCGAGACAGTGAACCGGTGCTTACAATTCTGGAAGCATAGTCCCCTACAACCGTGGTGATCAAATTCGTTGCCGAACACTCATCTCTATACGCCAGACGGGTCACACAGAAACATCCATAAATCTACAAGGGGTCGAGGTGATTCTATTTTGGGTACCTACACCAGAGGCAGAGCATGTACTCCCTGATTCTGGAGAAGCTCATTCAGTCTCAAAATACATCCTGTTCATATATATAAACCATGAGAACAACTCATTCAACAAGCATTAACATGTACCGAAGCCAAACATTTTCACTGCCCCATATCAATCTCAAACCCAGTTCATTTGGTATAAGTTACCCATCCAGCCTATTTCGCTTAGCTAGAGAAAAGGAGGTAAAAATGAATATGGTTGGTAAACTTGTAGTGTAAGACAATGACATTTGAGAAATCTGGTGGAAAAATGCAGAACAAGCTAAAAAAACTGATGCCACACTGCATATCAAGAACTTGACCTTTTGGATTCAGAACTCATTTGGAACAGATATAAGTCTTCCAGTAGATCACCATACAGCACAATACAAATCTAAATTAGCAACGCATGATACCACAGCAATATAAGTCTTCCAATATAAGTCTTCCAGTAGATCACCATACAAATCTGAATAACTTCAGAAACATAAAATGAAAACTAGCAATGCATGGTACCACATCAAGAGGAAGCATAGGCAAACAAATAGACACATTTGTATTTGATTAATTGAAAGAATAAATCAAACACTTCCCCAAGAATACTCGTCTATACCCAATTGAAGTAAACTAATCTACAAAATCTAGTGAAGCATTACTGAACACAAGCACTACAGCACAGGGAACAATTCGTGGTCAACAAATTTAGAACATCAAAGGAATGTCCATGGTATCAAGATAACAAATGAGAAATAGTAAACATGGGATTATGAGACAAAAAAAAAAAAGGCCATAGAACCTTGCACAAACATCTCAAATCGCGCAATCCCAAAGATGCATTTTTCACCGGGATTTGACAAAGGGTTGCTGCAAGGAGCTGTAATCAATACGCAGGTTCAAAACCCATAACCAACTAAACATGAACATCAGACAACTTGCATTCTTCCACCATGAACTACGAGGTTCATGCATCAATGTAGTGACTTTAAATATACCACAATAGGAACAAAGGGTTGCAGCTATTTTCCAAGGGCACCTAAAAACAAAAGCCATTTAAACCTCTCTAATTTCTTACAATGCCTCGCAGCGGATTGTAATGTCAATGTACTACAACTTGAGCCCTATTCATAGAATCATAGTTGAGTACAATACAACCAGAGCAGGAGCAATGAAACAAAATACTATGCAAGGAAATTAAATATCAATGGAGAGGCCTGGATAATGAGTTAGCCACATTCTAATCAAAACATGCTCGGGAACACAGATGATCAAGAACAAGTTTATGCCATGAAACCACAGCTTTAAATTGTAAAAATCATAAAATAAATAGAAAAGCACAACACGAGTCATGATAAAGGGGCGGGGGTCCTAGACTTTGAAATTCAAAGGTTATGTTTCTCATGTAAGTATCAGACATTCATAAGCAATACAAACAGATCTCCGTAAACGCAACCCTCAAGAAGCAGTCTGAAAACCTAATTCACATTCTACGAGAACAAAATCCTGGAGAAATCAGGGTTCTTGAACAGATGGGGTTTCCTCCTTGTCGGTGGTCGATACAACAGGAGCAGACGACCCGTTTTCAGCTGTAGAATCGGACGCAGCTCTAGCCTTGACAGTATCGAGAGTGCGCTTGCTGATCTCCCTAGAATAAAGCTGAAGGATCTCGATCCCGTCGTCGTCGGCGCTGGCTTTAGCAGCGGCGAAAGAATAAGCTTCCTCCTCTATAAGACGCGCTGCATCGGTGGCCTCTTCATGGGGTACAGTGCCATAGCGCTTGGAGAGAACAGAGGGGTTGGAGAGCGTCTCGATGAGGCGTTTGATGACAGCGTCACGAGTGCGCTGCGAAGGCGGCCAAATACTAAAGGAGGTGCTAAAAGACTTGGATGATTTGGGTGACTCCTTAGCCTGATCTCCTGGGGAATCCTGTTCGGTGGTCGGCACGGTGGCGATCTCGGTCTCAGACATTATGCGGATGGGAAGAGTAGAACAGGAAAAGCGTAAGAAGGTTCAGATTTGGAATTGGAAAAGGGCAGGTTCACTTAAGAAGAAACCCAAGGGAGGTAAAGGGACATTATTGCGGACCACCGTGAACTAATTATCGCGAATCCGACGGTCGAAATTATTCGCTGCGTTTCGGCCATCGATCGTTTCATTCTTTTTTTTTCTTTTTTTTCTCTTTTTCTCTTTTTCTTTTTTCTTTTTTCTTTTAATATTAATTACTATTTCAGATAATAATAAAATAAATAAATAAAATAAAAATAAAAAAAAGAAGAAGAAAATACGTGGTAAAATCAAAGCGGAGAGAGTAAATGAAGCATATGGAGCTATGGGCTCTGCACATTGCCTCCAAAGGTATGGCTTTGGGCATAGGGATTCCAGTTCCATCGGATTGTCACAATATCTACCACTTAAAAGTGTGCATAGATATGAAAATATTATTACTCAACGAAAGAAGACAGATTTAAGAATGAGGAAAATAAAAGGGATTGAATGTTCTATCTTCATTGATATTCACGACCTTTAAATAGGATACAAGATACTGAATAATATCTACCAAGAAAATATAAACTAACTAAATCCTGATAATAAAATAAAATATACTACTATTCAAATTCAACTGATTACTACGATATCTAAGATATATTTCCTAACTAATATATTCTGGAAGATTACGAATATCATATATTCCATAACTAATTCAAACTAAAATAAGTTGCACTAAATTGTGACATGGACAAATCTCTAATTGGCTCTTCGCCAACTCTCGGCCACTCAAAGCACTGAATCAAAGTGGCCAGCGTCAAGCCCACGACACGGTGGGCGAGGGCAGCCCCAGGACAAGCCCCCCTCCCCACTCCAAACAGCACCCATTTGTGGGACTCGGCAGCTTCCCAATTCAGAAACCTCTCAGGTCGGAAGCTAGTGGGATCCTCCCACAGTTGAGGGTCCCTATGGATGGCCCAAACATTCACCAATAGCATCCTGCCTTTGGGTATGTCAAATCCTTCAATTCTACACTCTTCAGAGGATTCGTGTGGCACCAACAGAGGAGCTACTGGAAACAGTCGAAGAGTCTCGTAGATTATGGCTTCCACGTATTTTAGGCTGCTAACATCGCCTTCCTCCACCAGCCGACTCTCCCCAACGCACTCTCTTATCTCGCTCCAAGCTTTATTCATTATCGTGGGATGATTCAGAAGTAGCGACATCGCCCATTCTATTGTTCCTGTAGTTGTATCAGTACCCGCAATCAACATCGTCTGCAGTAGATAACCACCAAAGTTCACAATTTATGATGTCAAAATAACAAATAATATTCAAGTGTTTGTCACGGGCATGCACGCTAGATATTGTTGTATCTCGACTTTTTCTTGTGAGTTTTCTTTCTTACAAAGTTTTAAATTGTATCTCATAGGGAGAGTATTCCAACCAATGTGTACATCCCGAAAGTTTTCCACACCCTTATAAAGAATGTGTTGTTCTTCATCTCAACCGATGTGAGATCTTACAGTCCACCCCTTCGAAGCTAGTGCCTTTGTAGGCACACCATCTAGTGTCTACCCATTTCAAGACTAAGACTTCTCGCGGATACATCTCTCTCAACATTTTAAAACGTTTTTACTAAGAAGAAGACCCGTATAAATAATGTTTAGTTCTCCACTAACGACGTATGATCTCACAGGGATTGAAGTTACCATTAATGATATCATCGGAGTAATATTGAGGTTGAGATTCTTGGAAGGATAGCAAGCTCTGAATCATGGTCTTGTTTCCATGTTTTTCATCCGGCCAACGAGAAGCTCGCCTTTCCCGCTCGCAATCAATCAGCTTTTGTAGGAATAAATCAGCTCGACCACTGGCTTTCACCATCCTCTTCTCAAGTCCTTGATAATCAAAGAGTCTCAAAATGGGCAAAAAATCAGCTGGATTCGACGCCCCACTTAAGTGAAGAAGCTCCTTCATGATCTCCTTAAACTCCCTCGCTTCCTCAACATCCTCAACATCTACACCAAAGTAACGTTTCCCACTCACCATCCTCATAACAGTATTAAAAGAAAGCTCGTTCAATTTGGACTGCATCTCCAAGCGAACAAAATCACTACTTTCCCCTGTCTCGCCGTACAAATTCTTGACACATAATTTGAGCTCTTGCACTCGAATATTGAGATACGTGTCGAGGCGTTGGTTGGAGAGTAGCTCTTTGGTGGCTACGCGGCGCATGTTGCGCCAATGGTGGCCGTAGGAGGCAACAGCCACACCGGTGTAGTTGTAGTTCATGTACTTCCCAGAAAGCAAGCGAGGGCGGTTGGCGAAGGCGATGTCGTTTTTGGTAAAGCACTCGCGGACAGCGGTTGGGGAGGAAATAACCACCATGGGACGGGAACCGATTGAAAGGGATAAAATTGGACCGTGTTTGTCGGAGAGATCCTGCAGCACTCTGTGGAAAGGTTGTTTGAGGAGATGAAGGTGGCCGATGAGAGGAAGCGATGGTGGGCTGGGTGGACACCTTCTGGGGCTTTGTTTTCTGAGTTTGTAAATAAGACTAAGAGTGAAGAGAAGCGAGAGAGAGAGCCATGTAATTGTGTTAGCCTCCATGGATGAATATGTTGGAAGTTGTTGCAGGTGCATATCCAAAATGGGCTCAATTTTGCATGGTTTTATACAAGAAATTAGCACGGTGGGGAATTGGGATAAGAAGCTACAGAGTTAGGTAACGGATATATTAGAAGACATTTGATAATGAGGTGAAGAAAAAATGATAACAAGTGAGAGAGAAATGTGCCAAATAAAAGTAGACTGCGTGATCTTCTCTTAGCTTCTATTTCTTTTGTTGATAAATAAGACAGATAGGCATTCCCTATTCTAATAATGAAAATACTCAAACAAAAACTTCATATCCTACGTTACCCAAAATGCTATGTGGCTATACCATTAAGTATGCAAAGCCAACTTCAACTTAAATCACCTCATCAAGATAGCTTCAGATTCCCACCTCCAAACATTAAATTCAAAACAACCCTATGTTAGTAGTTAGTAATTCATAAGAATGAATAAGAGTTACAAGTGTGTGGAAACTTCTCACTAAAAGACGTGTTTTAAAATTATGAGATTGACAACTATATATAGCGGGTCAAAGAGGTAGCGGTGGGTTTGAACTTGGATTGTTACAAATGGTATGTCACGACCCGATTTTCGAGGCTTCGAAAAATCGAATCGTGACTAAAAAGAGGAAACGAAAACAAACAAAAAGAAAAGTAAAGTAAAGTAAAAAGATAAAAATACCATTGAATTAAAACAAGAGAGAGAAGTTTTGTTTCGAAATTATTACAAACATAAAATGAAATACAAAAGACTCTAAAAGACCGACAAGGGACTGACGCTAACCCCCTTTGTGACCGCATAACTCTCGAACGCTCCTCCACCTCGACCGGTACCTGAAAAAAAGAGTAAATAGGAATGAGTATAAAAATCATACTCAGTAAGCCACCTACTTGTAGGCTTTCATCGCAACCTCAGCTTAATAGATTTTCACGGACTTCTCTTTAGCTCTAGGAAATCTAGTTCTGATCTTAGCTCTTTAGAATTTGTCCTTTGGGGCTTCTTTGGTTCTCAGTCCTTTCATTTATACCCCTAGAGTTCCTTTTATGCTAACTCGGGACTGGTGACTTGCGAGTGACTACCTCGGCATGGGTATGACATTACCTGGGGTCTTGCCTAGGAAGTGAGCTGCACTCCTAGCCCCATGGTAATTCCCGGTATTTGGGAGAGCTACCTCCCCTATCCCATCTAGCTAAACGGTCAATTACGACGTGGGTATCCCGTTTCCCATACTAAACGGCTATCGAGCAGTCGAGTCCTGATCAAGAATCCGCTGGTCCCCCACGAAGCTATAACATCACCCACACACAAGTAGCCTAAGGGTACTCTAGAGGTTGCTCGTATGCTGAGGTGGTCTGTTAGACTACTAAGGGTAAGGGAAAGGTTAGGTCTATACCTTACTGACTAGTCACTCTAACCACAAATCCCTAGACTTTATCATTCTTGTGGTTCGTGGAAATTATCTAAGTGTGTACACAACTATCATCCAGTATCATCATACAAAATTCAAGCAAAATAAACATACATGCTCAACAGGGCAATAACATCCATCAAATCCCGGAGCGCAGAGATCACAAGTTCCCATTCTCCTTTCAGCATGAATTAAACATTTACATATAAAGCGGAAGCTTAAAACATAATAGCAACACTCAGATAATTCTCATAATATTTTACATAATACATTCATACTCTTAACAATCAAATTGCTTACATTCAATCATGGAAAGCTACCACCTAAGGTAATTAAACTAGCATGCATGCATAACCAAGCAACTCCTACAAGTATTTCTTTCTAAAGTTCCGTGTGGTGACTTACCTGATTGACACGTGTTCTTCGTTTAGCGCTTCTACACCAATAGCGTGTCTACAAATACTGATTTTCTCTATTTAAGTCCTATTTCATATAAAAGTAGGGTTAGAGTTGGAATCGGGAGGAAATTCGGGAAAACAGAAGTCGAACCGGCTGAAAACAGCACCTCACGCGTATGCACGCGCTCACACGCGCCTGCGGAAAGTATTACTACGCGCGGACGCGCATGAGGGAAGGAAGACGCGCGCTGCGGTATTGCCACGTGTCGCCCGCTGAACGGTCAGCCGAGATCGAGGTCGTCGGTTCGAAACCGGAACGACGCGCTGGAAATCCGAATTCTTTTACAGTGACACGTGGCATCACGAAGCCGGGTCGGTGATCCGGGTTGCGCGCGGGTCATCGGGTCGCGGACTCGAGTAGCGGCTGCCAGCGTTCGAATCCTGCCCGACGCGAAGTATTTCGTTGAATTTCTCCACCAATACACGCCTGCCACGTGTCGACCACTACGGCGACGCGCGGCCCTCTCTTTGCCTGACACGCGTCCCTCCGCCGTTCGTCTTCTTCCTCACCTCTGCGATTTTCCAGAAACCCGATTATTTTCTATTTTCTTTGCATTTTCGTATTTCTTTCTATATGATTCGGATTAATATGATTCCTTCACGAGATTTGTAGATCTCATACTCATCTACTTAGAGGTATTTTCTCGTAATTTATTTCTAACCACAGTGGTAACAAACTCAGTCCAAAGTTGACATGAGATATCAATATTCAAATCATTGATTGAAAATTGGAACTCCTATTTTTTATCCGAATCAATCAAGGCTCCTTTCACAAATTATGACAGCAATCTTGTCTAGATTAACATACTCAAATTTCGGAATCTAACTCTCAATATTTCTAACAGATCTAAGGAAAATCCGAAAATAACTGGTTTCAGAATTTACCTACGGATTTTCTTCTTCCTTGACGGTTTTGGACGATTTGAGAGTCAAGAACGTTCTCCTTTTGTTCTGTTAAGATTTGGTGAAGAAGGCTCGGCCGGAACCGGACTCCTCGTGGCCGGAGCGGCTGTTACCTCCCTCTCTCTAGAACTTTCTCTCTCCCTAGAACTTTCTTCCTTTCTCTCCTCCTTTCCTATTCTTTTCTTTTTCCCCACCCTTTTCTTTTAATCATGTCCCACTAACCTCAATTTCAGAGGTTTAATGAGAAGGAGGGTATAATGACTAAATTACCCTTTCGAGTTGACTTTGACCGTATTTTTAATTTTCCATCATTTTTCTCTCATATTTTTATTAAGTTCTTATTTTATTTTAGTTCATTATTAAGTTCTTATTTTATTTCCACTCATTTTGCTGCCTCACCTCCAATTTTGGTCTCTAAGACCTTCAATAAAATCTCTAGAGTTTGGCTTTAAAGAAAAATTAAATTTTAAGCTTTCTATTAAGGCTCGGATCTTGTATTAGAGTTAGACATTGGACAATGTGTAGTGAAAACACTAGTCCCCAAAAAAATGAATTGTGAGATCTCACGTCAGCATTTCTGATTACTAAGTGTTCAGTATAGTCTAAAATATTCATTTTGATTCAAACAAGGCCGGGGACATACACGTAGAAAACATCTCCACGTGGTGTGTGGTTAGATGATTATCCTAGTTTGAAATGTCCATATTTAAGACTAGTTTCTAATGTCCTGTTCTTCTCACTATTTGTCCCATATACCTTTCAGCTTCGGTCCAAACATTGAGCGACAACAAATTTCATAATGCTTCAAAAATATAATTAATTTTTAAACAAACATTTATTAACAATATATTATCTTACTTTTACAGCTTAATACACAACAGAAATCTTGATAATATTTAACAAATTTATTCTTGTATATTTTGAAGTAGCCACGTTGTAAAATCAAAGCGGAGAGAGTAAATGAAGCATGGAGCTACGGGCTCTGCACATTGCCACCAGAGGTATGGCTTTGGGCATAGTGATTCCAGTTCCCTCGGACAAGTCTATGGGCTCTTCGCCAACTCTCTGCCACTCAAAGCACTGAATCAAAGTGGCCAATGTCAAGCCCACGACACGGTGGGCGAGGGCAACCCCAGGACAAGCCCTCCTCCCCACTCCAAACGGCACCCATTTGTGGGACTCGGCAGCTTCCCAATTCAGAAACCTCTCAGGTCGGAAGCTAGTGGGATCCTCCCACAGTTGAGGGTCCCTATGGATGGCCCATGCATTCACCAATAGCATCGTGCCTTTGGGTATGTCAAATCCTTCAATTCTACACTCTTCAGAGGATTCGTGTGGCACCAACAGAGGAGCTACTGGAAACAGTCGAAGAGTCTCGTAGATTATGGCTTCCACGTATTTTAGGCTGCTAACATCGCCTTCCTCCACCAGCCGACTCTCCCCAACGCACTCTCTTATCTCGCTCCAAGCTTTATCCATTATCGTGGGATGATTCAGAAGCAGCGACATCGCCCATTCTATTGTTCCTGTAGTTGTATCAGTACCCGCAGCCAACATCGTCTGCAGTAGATAACCACCAAAGTTCACAATTTATAATGTCAAAATAACAAATAATATTAAAGTGTTTGTCACGTCACAAATGGTGGTTGTAAGCAGCAAACCGATGGGCATGCACTCAACGCTAGATATTGTCATATTTGGACTTTTTCTCGTGAGTTTCCTTTCTTTCAAAGTTTTGAAACGTGTATGCTAGAGAGAGTATTCCACACCCTTAATAAAGAATGTTTCGTTCTCGTTCTCAACTGATGTGAGATCTCACAATCCACCCCTCCGAGGCCAACACCCTTGTAGGCACACCACCTAGTGTCAATCCCTTTCAAGACTAAGACTTCTCGCTGACACATACAGCCTCTTTTGTAACAACCATACAGCCTCTTTTGCTGACACATTGCCCGGTGTTCAGCTCTGATACCATTTGTAACAACCATACAGCCTCTTTTGACTTTTCCTTACAAGTTTTCGTCTCAAAGTTTTAAAACGTTTTGGCTAAGAATAGTTTTTCACACTCTTATAAAGTTTAGTATGATATCACACCATTAAAATGGGAGGGATTGAAGTTACCAGAACATGACCCTTGATGATATCGTCGGAGTAATATTGAGGTTGAGATTCTTGGAAGGATAGCAGGCTCTGAATCATGGTCTTGTTTCCATGTTTTTCCTCCGGCCAACGAGAAGCTCGCCTTTCCCGCTCGCAATCAATCAGATTTTGTAGGAATAAATCAGCTCGACCACTGGCTTTCACCATCCTCTTCTCAAGTCCTTGATAATCAAAGAGTCTCAAAATGGGCAAAAAATCAGCTGGATTCGACGCCCCACTTAAGTGAAGAAGCTCCTTCATGATCTCCCTAAACTCCCTAGCTTCCTCAACATCCTCAACATCTACACCAAAGTAACGTTTCCCACTCACCATCCTCATAACAGTATTAAAAGAAAGCTCGTTCAATTTGGACTGCATCTCCAAGCGAACAAAATCACTACTTTCCCCTGTCTCGCCGTACAAATTCTTGACCCATAATTTGAGCTCTTGCACTCGGATATTGAGATACGCGTTTAGGCGGTGGTTGGAGAGTAGCTCTGTGGTGGCTATGCGGCGCATGTTGCGCCAGTGGTGGCCGTAGGAGGCAACAGCCACACCGGTGTAGTTGTAGTTCATGTACTTCCCAGAAAGCAAGCGAGGGCGGTTGGCGAAGGCGATGTCGTTTTTGGTAAAGCACTCGCGGACAGCGGTCGGGGAGGAAATAACCACCATGGGACGGGAACCGATTGAAAGGGATAAAATTGGACCGTGTTTGTCGGGGGGAGGAAATAACCACCATGGGACGGGAACCGATTGAAAGGGATAAAATTGGACCGTGTTTGTCGGAGAGATCCTGCAGCACTCTGTGGAAAGGTTGTTTGAGGAGATGAAGGTGGCCGATGAGAGGAAGCGATGGTGGGCTGGGTGGACACCTTCTGGGGCTTTGTTTTCTGAGTTTGTAAATAAGACTAAGAGTGAAGAGAAGCGAGAGAGAGAGCCATGTAATTGTGTTAGCCTCCATGGATGAATGTGTTGGAAGTTGTTGCAGGTGCATATCCAAAATGGGCTCAATTTTGCATGGTTTTATACAAGAAATTAG